GAGACGATGAGAGGTCAAGTGACGTATTGTTCAATGATCTTATTTTAAAGATGGCGACTGAGAGAGCAAGCCTGTTAGATTGAATGGATAAAGGCAAAAAAGACTGGAAAATACCTGAATAACGTGAGTGAAATCAATCAATAAATGGTTTTTAGTAAACAGAAAGGTCAAGGATCATGTTCGTGTGCAAGAGAAACTGCGCCCACGATGATAAGTGGCTGCGCCAAAAATGTTCAGTACGCCGACACGAAATTGCGCATACAGATGTGTGGCTAAGGATGGATCGGGAGTGAGAATCTGTGCCACACTAGTGGGGCTACTGGACAGCCTCCGTATCTAAGGCTCCACAGCGCTCCATTCAAAAAGTGGATACTCAGTGAAAATGCCGTCCATGGAACTCCTTTTGCATGTATGGATTACTCACCCTATTAAAAGTATCATTAGTACTCTGATGTACTCTGGCAATTTCAAATTTTTAGAAGTCCGTGAAATTTTGGTTTTGGTTTGAGCCATTCGTTTACTAAAGTGACTAATTCCTGATTGCTGACCAAACGTAGCCAAACATAGTCGGAATATGTCACATCTCAGATGGTAACATTCTGAGGAATTATACCTCATAAACAAACTTTGGGGAACATTTTTAAAACTATGTGTTGAAATCGAAGTTGTTCGTGGATGGGGCATGGAGGCAAAGATTCACTGCTTGTTTTAATGTATTTTATGCACAGAAGTACTATGGCACATTCGCAGAGAGCTCCCCGATGTCGCAATCTTGCATTGACCATTGTACATGTACATACATGTGTGTACATGTCCAAACCCGAACCGTATCAAAGTTTGGCAAAATATTTCTGAACCAAACCTGAACTGAACTTTGGCACTTGCTTGCAGCTCTGCTTATTTCAATAAATTAAAGCCTAGCTTCACCTGAAATTTCAAAAATGTTGAAATTCATAAAATTAATAAAGGAGCTGCAACATGCAGAAAAAATTTCTTATGAAGAAAATGAGATCCAAAATGAACTACGCCTTCACTCTTTCATGCATGTCCCTAGCTGTCTGGAGTTGTTTCAAAGATTTCTTAGTGTGCCAACTACAAAGGGTAGTCTGTGGTGNCAGAACCACACATACTCAAAGAAGAGATAAGTACATGGTGTTACCGCAATCTTTACTATAGATCTAGTCTGTGGTGGTCGGGCATTTCACAGAGTAATGTTTATGGCCCTGTACTCTTTAACCCTACTATGCTGAAGTCACTCTCTGGGTCACTTGGTAAACACCTCAAAGAAGCACAGCTGTGTTGTGTTGTGCACTGCACCAACTGTCCCTCGCAGGAATATCAGATTGCACTTTTGTGCTGCCCAACAACTGTGCTTCACTGTTTGATGTGCATAATTGTGCAGTAAGCCAAATGCAGTGAAGAGAACTGCACAAAAGACCCTGGGTCATTTTGTGCTGGCAGCCAACTGTGTACACACTGAACCTGTACATGTTTTTGTTTTCCATGTGGAAAATACATGCACAAGAGTGACTGTGGGCAATCGTACATATTTGTGCTGTAAAACCAAAGGAGGATTAATATCGTTATCATTGACATTACCCAAAGCACTAACCTGTAGGCTTGGGTAACTACAAACTGGCGATTCCTCAGCTTAACACCAGAGGAATGCTTTCTTTCAACTTCACTTATGATCTCTGTTAGGGAGATAAACCTTTCCATTTGTGCTCATCCGCTGTAGTTTTGAATTCCCCAAAATGGCTAACCCTTTTTTTTTTTGCCTTCCAGTTATAGGAGGATACCTAAGAGGATACCAAATAAAGCACAATGGCTGAAAACGATGTTGAGCAAGAGCTGTTGGACTATGAAGAGGAAGAACATGACGCCACTCAGGAGGCTGGGGGTGACGCTACTGCCCAGACCGCCATCAAAAAAGATGTCAAAGGCACCTACGTGTCCATACACAGCTCGGGGTTCCGGGACTTTTTGCTGAAGCCAGAGTTGCTGCGGGCGATCGTGGACTGTGGCTTTGAGCACCCTTCTGAAGGTACTCTTTCAAAAGGAAACAGTCTACTCAAAACTTTGGCTTTGGTTGTGCAAAGGCTGAAGACCAGGAGGGGTAACCCCTTGCTCTAAGGCATCCTCATAATCACTTCAGTACATGTATTTGCCTCAAGAAGATATCTTGTGCTTTATTGCATTGATGTTATTTCAGGGATAAGTGAACACATGCTCCATGGCATGGCAATTGTCAAGCTTATCTGCTGCTGAGCTAATGGACACCCTTTTGTTCACTTCATTTAGAGTCTGTGCTTATGGGATATTGCAAACTCAATGCATTCTGTAATGGATGGTAAAGACATGCACTGTGCACTCAGTGTTCTTGCGGCCTGGTAAAGTCATGAAAAAGTCATGGGGACGACTTTTTCAAACATTGTATGTGATTTCTATTATCAGAAATAACTGCATAAAATGTGTGACTTTATTTGAATTGTCCAAGAAATTGCATGATTGGGTTATGGTTTTTCATGATCTGGTCATGGAAAAGTCACGAAAAAGTCAAGGAATTTAATTGTCCTTTAGGCGCAGGAACCCTGCAGCACTGCATTTCACTGTTGCTTAATTAACCCTAACCCTCTAGGGTGTATGTAAAATCTTATTGAGATTAGAGGATTTGGGACTGTTAGGGTTAATATGGGACTTGAGAGCCCAGCTTGTTTATTAACCTTAGCCCTTAATCTCTTAGATCCTTTAGGATTGGGGGATGTTGTAGATGGAGAGATGTGGAACCCAGTATTTCAGTCACATCCTCGTCCTCAGTGTCTCTTGAAAGATACGGTACAAAGAAAGCTCCATTGGCTTCTTGTATATTAACCCTAACCCTGTCAGACGCAGCACAGTGCATCAGGTGAAAAAGTCTGCTGCTGTTTGATGCACATGGGCAATCAACAGCAGCAAAACAAAAGGGGCATGTTGAGACTGTGAGAGCTAGTCCCACTCAAATATGCCACTGTTGGATCTTGTGGTGACTGGCAACCACAGACTCCTAAGCTGTTTGGCCTTTAGGGAGGGTTGACCTGTTGGATCTTGTTACACTGGGCATGCAAGCCACTTTGACAACTGACTGGCAGTTTGATGCATCTGGCAGGGTTTCTAGCCAAAGCAGGCTGGGGGTTAGGGTTAATGGAGAGTTTGGAATTTCCTAAGCAGGTCCTACAAAAATGTTCAAAATAAAGATTTATGATAATTCCTGTAAATGTTTCTCCCTGTGAAAGGTTAGAATTGGTGCTTGTCAGCAAGCTCATCCTCCCATTTCACATAAAGTTCAGCTTAACTAGGGCGCATAGCTTTGCCCATGCAAGTTTATCATTGCCAGTGCTTTCTGCTCTTGATGTGCCCACAGTTCAACATGAGTGCATCCCGCAAGCCATCCTGGGCATGGACGTCCTGTGCCAGGCCAAGAGCGGTATGGGAAAGACTGCAGTCTTTGTCCTGTCCACCCTGCAGCAGTTGGAACCTGTATCCGGACAGGTATGGTAGAGTTTTGTCACCTTCTGAGTTTCTTACAGCATTCACTTTTATCACAGTCACTGAATCATTCAGTTATTGTTTTTAAGTTTTTCTCAAGGGAAGGAATATGCCCAACAGGGGCGTGAGAATTCAGCTTTTTGGCCGATTCCAGCTTTTCTGTGTACATGTTAACACTGAATTTCAGCCTTTTTGTACACTTGGTCTGTACAAAAGCATGGGAACTTTTTACATTTTAGCTTTTTGCTGGCCGTTTCAGCTTTAATTTTAAGCGGCCAATCACATCTATGGCCTAAGTTTATTTCTAATAAGTCGAGCCTTTTCCCAGAAATATGCAAATGGTCAGCCATGACTTTATGTGTTCATCTAGGAGCTTTCGCAACCTGAGTTCACAGTGAAAGTAAAAACACTGTTGACTTGTTATAATGTAGTTCTTTTTTTTTTTCGCTGTGAAAGTCATGAAGCTCCCGGATGTCATGGAGAGTTGCGTCTTTCCATAAGAAGCTCATTGACAAAATCTCAGTTTCTACCAACAGATGCACCTAAATCTTGATTTACTATAAACATACATTTTTTGTCTACCAAAATTGCCATTTTGCAGACCTCGACTGTAGGTTTTGTGTAAGTACATGTTCAAGGAAACAGTACTAAAGAAAGTCACTGTGTATCAGTTTGTGGACACTGTAAGTTCATCAACAGTGACTTTTTTGTGGCTTTTATTTCTAGACAATGATGTAACACCATCAACAACAAGTACTGGTGAATGTTTGCACTTTGTGCAGATTTTATCACAATTGAAAAATGATCAGATTTGCTGAAAAAAAGAAAGTTCATACTACTCTGCATTGGAATGTATCTTTTTTTTCTGATGGAAGCAACTGAACTTCCTATTTTTTTTTTCAAGGTTGGTGTGCTGGTTATGTGCCACACTCGCGAGCTGGCCTACCAGATCAAGAAAGAGTATGATCGCTTCTCCAAGTACATGAAGGACATGCAGGACAAGGTGGCCGTCTTCTTCGGCGGCCTGAGCATCCAGAAGGACATGCAACGGCTCAAAACGGATCCGCCATTCATTGTGGTGGGCACACCAGGGCGCCTGCTAGCACTTGTGCGCAACAAGTCCCTGTCGCTGAAGAACATCAAGCACTTCATCCTGGACGAGTGCGACAAGATGCTGGAACAGCTAGGTGAGTCGCTGTGCGGGATTTGTGCCCTTGTTGCTTTTCAAAATCTTTACTCCTTTCTCTGTTGGTGTAAATTTTGGGTCAGTCAGCAAGACGTGCAATAACCAACCACATAGAAGGTCTTGTAGGATGTCACGACTACTTATTAAAGATTCTGAAGGAATTGCATAAGAGGGTGCCATTTGCACAAAGGATTAGTGTGGCATTCCGTGGAGCGTGTGGCTGACCTCCAGTGTTGGGTCATTACGGGGCAGTCGTGGAAAGTAGATATTGAAGCGATTTGGAAGACGCAACAGAAGAAAGGTTGAGGCCCCGGTAAAGGTACATGAAAAATTCAACAGCCCCATTTCAACCAGATAAACCCTCATCGTCATATGTTGTTAGGCCAGGGCCAGTTGTGCCTTGCTAGACCTGTATGACAGGGCTCTTCCAGGTCGAGTGCAGCCTATAAGGGTTTTTCACGTGACGTAACATGACGGGCAAAGACATTTCAGGAAGTGTACCACGTCAGTGGAGGCGCATGCATTTTTGAATCCATTTCATGTACGGCAGAATGTTGAAAGACGTCAAAGGCATGTGCATTTCCACACACAACTGTGTACACTGTATATTGAACGCTGACTGTCAAAAATCATGTGACTGAAAATCCTCTATTCTTGCAAAGTTTTGCCGTGTGCATTTGTGCTGTTTGGGTAACTGTGAATAGGGTGGTTCAAGTGTGCTCTTACTCTTAGCAAGGCAACACAAACAGTGGGAAATGAGTTCATTGATAACGATATTCAAAAGATAAGCCGTAAGTTTTGAACACAACTGACGTTTGAAATTTTGTTCTCCCGCCAGACATGAGAAAAGATGTGCAGGAGATCTTCCGCACCACGCCACACGAGAAACAGGTCATGATGTTCAGCGCTACCCTCAGCAAAGAGATCCGGCCAGTCTGCAAGAAGTTCATGCAAGACGTAAATATATCCACCCTCTCTAGCTCGGCCTGCGGCCGTCTCCACTCTCCTGCACACAGCGGGTTCCAGCATTCACCATTTCACGTGACCGTTGGATGCTGAAAGGGCACGCCGGTAGTCTTTTGTTTTTTGAGTGTGCACCCTTGGCTAGGTCAAGGCTGATTACATCAACAGCAAGATTCTGTGCCTCAGGAGGGTCACTCATGGAGCTGGCAACCAGCATGGGTGCGGCGGAACTGAAGGCAGGTCGGCAAAATGGCAATCGAGTTGGCAGATGAGGCATGGCAGACAGCAACCTCCCTCCAGTGGCAAAAGTCGGCAGCAGTTGGCTTCACAACGGCATTGCTCATGTTGGAAAAATTTGGTCAAACAGCAATTAGCTATAAAGCTCCACCCATTATAATGTCCATCAAATAGTTTTTTCTTGTGGGAAATGCGGACCTGACTTTAGGTGAGGCCCAAGGCGCCCACAAGTCCGTCGCTTCAACTTTTTTTTCTTAGGTTTTTCAGACTCATCATAATGTTTTTTTCTCTTGCTAACGCTGACGTGACTTCAGGTTGGATTTCAGAAGTGTATTTGGTCCATGTCTTTTATGTGTGTATTGTGTGGAGCACTTCATGGAGAGCTGTTGTTCTGCCATTTTTTTTCCTCATGGGAAATGCGGACCTGACTTCAGGTTAGGCCCAAGGCGCCCATGAGCTCGTCGCATCAGTTTTTTTCTAGGGTTCTTTATTCTTGGTGGTTTTTTATGTTCTCAGGAATTTTCCTTTTTTCTGTAAGGAGCATGCTCATGGGAAATGCGGACCTGGCTTTAGGTCAGGCCCAAAGGCGCCCATGGGTTCAACAGCATTTTTTTCTTAGGGACTGAAGCGCAGTGGGTACTTTATAGGTTTGGCTAATCTTGTTCAACGTTTCGCTGCTCTACTCTTGTTGTTGTTTTAATTCTGGGAATCGTGCTGCCGAGTTAAAATGGAAAATGTCTGCCACATTTACACAAGCTTCCGTCAAGCACTTCAATTTCACAGTAAGTTTATTCCAATGAAATTTTGCAAGCCATCATATGAAGCCGTACCGTCATCTACGGTGTATGTACCGACATGGGCAAAGAGTCAGAAGTGCAGTGTGCGGATTACTGGCTGCAGAATCATTACACATGGTGTTTGCACAGTGGATTGTCCTGTTACAAGAACTCTTGCTCCAGGCTGTTCTCTAAATTGCATCTTCAACGGAAGTGGATTGCTGAAAAGTCAGGGATCTTTTTAAAGAATCTGGACTCAGCGGACTGTAGGCTCATGGTAAGAAAGTTGGCCTGCTCTGAGTTTGCAATTAAGGATTACTCATTTGATATGGATGACAAAGTCTGATGTTGGCCGACAATGGATGCTTCACAGCTGGGATCATCAGAAGGCCCTCCCCCGTCGTGTCGCCCTGCTCCCTTGCCTTGCCATTGCCTGCCTGTCGTGGTCCAAAGGTTCTATCTCTCTGTTCTGGCTCAACATTCTAGCTGGATCCACGTAGCATCTGCCTTCTCATAAGTCCAGCGGGAATAGGCCTGAAGGGGGCCATCCCATTTTTTAATGTTTTTAATAAATTGTAAAGCATTTGTTTAAAGGGGTCAAAAATGTGAACTTTGGTATCTTCAAAACAAATAACATTCCATATTTCACGAGGAAAAAATTGAGCAGATTGATTAAACAAGGTATTTGTATTTTAAAATGCAAAAACCTAACTACCAAAATATGTTATGGAAATCAGAAAACGGTGTGAATAATCAATTTGTCATGTGTCCTCAATTTTTGCTTTCGGAAAACCAGTGCCATGGGCAATAAAAAAGTAAAACTAGCATGAAGACAGTTTGGCATCAGATGGCAACCATCACAGACAGCTGAGAGAAAGAGTTTTGCACATACATGAAAGAATGGCTGAACTTGGTTGCAAAACTTTCGGGGCTGGGTCCTTTAGTCGCAGGGACTACAAGCCAGAACAGCTGCCTGGCAGATTGCCGATCAGACCGGTGCTCGGAAAGTGCGGACCCCTCAGCCTTTGTGTTGTAAGGCCTCAATGCGTCCGAGATCACCTGCCTGAAAAGGGGTTAGACATTGTGAGAAAGGATTCTTTCATGAGGAAAAATATAATTTGTAAGGTATTAAAGCTAAAGGGCATCCATAACATTCAGTCCATTCTAATCTGTTGGTAAGGTAGCAAATGATAGCATATGTGAGACTCGGTGAGGGATTTGGTAACGTATATAACACATGTAAGACCACCATTGCAGAAAAAAACAACAATGTGAAACCATGGAAGAAAGCCGACCCTGTTCGTGCTGTTCTGGCTTCTTTAGCATAACTGGTCCCCCCCCCAAAAAAAACCACTAAAGTTACTGATGCCAGACTCCTATTATGGACTGCCTTCTTTCAGCCTATGGAAGTTTATGTAGATGATGAGACCAAGTTGACCCTCCACGGCCTGATGCAGTACTACGTGAAATTGAAGGACAATGAGAAGAACCGTAAACTCTTTGACCTGCTGGACGTCCTGGAGTTCAACCAGGTAGATAACGACTCACTTCATCGGGCTCCAAAAAGTTTTGGTTTTTTGTTTTTGTTTTTAATTGGCAAGCTGTACTTGACATAAAACCATGCAACTGCAAATTTGTAACCTCGCGGTGAATATTCCTGCAGCAAGCAGGGCTGTAGCCAGGTCAGTCTGAAGGGGGATTTCCAAGCTGTGAAGGCATGTGTGTGCAAGTGCAGAACCTCACTGAATACGTACTTCGTACTTGGTCAAGACTTTTGGTTTCCAGGCAACGTGACCCCTCGGCTACACCCCAGGCGAGGGCGCCCATTTCTGAATATTGTGTTATACAGGGGAGTGTGTTGGGGGACCACTTGAATGCTGTGCTTTAATTTTGCATGCTGGGTTCAGCACTGTTAAAGGTAAGACACACCTGTCATTCTCTTGTTAGTTTGTCTTCCCTGCTTGCCTTTCCCAGGTGGTCATCTTCATCAAGAGTGTGCAGCGCTGCATAGCCCTCTGTCAGCTGCTCGTGGAGCAGAATTTCCCAGCCATCGCCATCCATCGCGCTATGCAGCAGGAAACCAGGTTCGTTTAACCGGCAGGTTTAAGTAGATCACAACTTTCTACAAGTTGTTCGTAAAGCACACTGTTGAAAACATCGGGTTCACTGGTTTTCAGAATGGCAGAAGTTACAAAACACATGTTCCTACATGATCGTACTGCAAGACTTACAACTTGGATATTTACTACAGTACAAACTTTCAAGCCATGGTCGTGTTTTTCTCAAAAAGTTAACAAAAAGAAACCCACGGTTATTCAGTGGTGAATCAAGACTGGTAACAAACATACTTAATCCAAACACTTTAAACAGCAAACAACATGAAAAACAAATAAAAATGGGATTGATCAGCTCACAAAGGAATGTTGAAAGGGGTTGCCTGAGCAGTCATTTTCTTGAAGAGCACAGACCTCAAGAATGAAAACAAAACTCTCACTGACTTTCTTTCCCTTGGTTTGCATCACCAGGCTGCAAAACTACAAGCTGTTCAAAGACTTTGAGAAGCGTATATTGGTCTCTACCAACCTCTTTGGCCGAGGCATGGACATTGAGAGAGTCAACATTGTCTTCAACTACGACATGCCTGAAAACTCGGACACGTACCTTCACAGGGTAAGGGAGCGTGACCGGGTATTGTTTGCAATGGTAGAGCAGTGCTGTGCTCTGATCGGTTGTGCATCTTCAGCTTACAGTGGCGACTTTGTGGATTCCTTGCACATCTAATGCTCAAAGTGGCAACCCAACACTTATTTTGACAATGTGGATTTGTGCACATTGAGATGAAAATTGGTCATGCATGCTCTGCACCTCTGCGCATGTGACCCAATTAGTCAGCCAAGTGCTCCTGTGGTACAATCATTCAAAACAATGACGGATTTCCTCCGCTATTGACAATTGAAAAAATGTTGGCACTTCCCAGCAGCTCAGTCTTTTGTTCCGAGTATGGTCTTTTGTTACAAGGCCCAGCTCTTTTGTATAATTTCGGGCACCCCGGCAATGCGTATAAAGCCAACATCTCCAAAACCGGGCTCCCCAGCAGCAAGTGGTTTAAGTGGAAGCTACATTTGACCTTTTTTTTTTTTTTAATGTACCAAAATACCAAACAAGTAAGCAAAATCCTTTTTCACCGACAGGTGGCTCGTGCGGGCCGTTTTGGCACCAAGGGTCTGGCAATTACCTTTGTTTCGGACGAGAATGATGCCAAAATTCTGAATGATGTTCAAGATCGCTTTGAGGTCAACATTACGGAACTCCCGGAGGAAATCGACATGGCCTCGTACAGTAAGTCACCATTCTGCCTCTTCAGATGTCGGAGCATGGGATGACAAAAGTTAAAGCTTTTTGAGTAACATGCTCGGGGGTTTGGGGCTACCTGACGACCTCCAGACACTTGCCTGTGTTTGTTTTGGAGGACGTCGGCCTTGATCTGATCGTGACTGAACCCATTTGAGAGCAGTTTCCAACGACATGCACGTGGTGATTTGTAGTGTACTGAGCAGTGTGGCAAGGGATGATTGCTTGTGGGAATGAGGATGATCATGTAGACGGTTGACCTGCGACAGCTAACCACATAAATTCCACAATTCTCTCTGGCATGTACTAATGACATCTTACACTTGCATTTACATTCCTAGTATACTGCTTATGTACCAACAAAAATAAAAGTCATTGAATATTTTAACACTTGTGTGCAGGTGTCTTGCTAATGTTTTGTGCATTTCTTTCAGGAGTAATGTAAATAGCATGTACCAATGTGTCTGGTGGTTGAGTAACAGTTTTTCAGAAATACCACTTCCAGGAGCTCACCTTTTCTGGTATCTTTTTTAAAACAGTTGAACCAGACAGATTCCAGTAATTTGCAAGTTCTGTGCCGTTCATTACCTGAAATGTCACCGGTCAAGATGCGACAGACCTGCAGGAGAACAGTGTTCCCAACCAGTCAAGCCAAGGTGCACTACACAGCGCTGAACTGGTTAAAACCAGTTTCTTTGAATTGAAAATACAATCACAAACATTCCAAGCTGCCTAGCTGTCACTGATTGGTTAACTTGCAAACTTTGTATGTTTTGCTTAGTCTAAAGGTTGGAGGTATGTTTATGTGAAAGCTTTGTTCCCACTAAGTTCCACCGTTTGTGGGGAAAGATATTCAAATACCGAATACAATTACATGTACATTAGTTTCTGAAATTGAATGAAACACTGGTTTGAATCAGTTTGCCTAGTACACTGGCTAAAATCTGGGAGGTTTTTGTAACGTGGACCCCGTGTTCATGTTAACTTTCATTTACATGTGTGTGACTGTAGGAAACCGTCACAACTGTGGGAACTGTCAGAGGCAGCACTTGGCTTTTTCAAATGAGATTGTGCTCACAGTAGACTTCAGTATTTTGTAACAAAGAACTTAGTTTGTTCACTGGAAATCAGTAAAATAAAACCAAAATAAAATTGATACTTATGTTACCTGTAACAGGCAGAAATGCTTGAACCAACACAAAAACAAGCAATGGAAGGCATTTCAGTTTTGAAGCTTTTAAACTTTTTAATTCTGTTTTTCTTGTCGTTTAGTATACTATAATTGTAAATATAGATGTCTTGGCATTTTAGCTTTTAAAGTGATTTTCAACCCTAGTTTCCCTACAGTCGCCCTTTTGGAATCTGAACATTGCTTGAACCTGCAGTATGCATAGCTTGCACTGGGTATTCAGACAAGATATTGACAATTTGCAAGAAGCAGTTGAACTTGATTCATACACACCTGTGAGCTGCAGAACCTGCTTGACATTTTATTTTTGCGAACGGTTTCCCATTTACCGTCCTTCATCAGTTCAAGAATTCCTTTACAAGTTTTCTACATGTATTTAAGGTCTCCCTTGTTTTGAGTTGCAGAATGGGGAAAAATCTGTCCAGTTTTGCTAAAACGTTTCAGGGCAGGAACAGCATGAGGTAAAAACTTGGAAAAGTAATTAAGAGATGAAAATCATGTCCTTCAAATGTCCGTTTAAGTACATATTTCAGTTCAAGTTTTATAAATGCTCTGATCGTTAGCTTCTTTTTGAAAGTGTATTTTATATGTGTTAATTGCGAGAATAAAGTTGTTTTAAGAGTTGGCCTTCATTGAGAACTTCATTTCCTTGTGAAGTTCGTCCATGTCGTGGGGGTATATCGCTGTCGAGTTACTTGTATCATCTTCAGCTGGCCGGTGCGGACTGTTTATGTTACAACTGCTATATTTTGCGTTTCTCGAGCACGTCAGAGATGCGATGCTGCTTCAAGACGTTCCTGTTTGTCGTGTAAACGCAAGAAGAGACAGAATCCCGCCGAGATTCTCGGTGCTCATTCCCGAAACCAGTCAAAGGCTGCATCCGCATCGGCTGTCTAGCTGAGAGCTAGGAGTTATAGCTTTAATGAAAAAAAATTCACTTCAAGGATTATCGCCGGTCTACATGTACACAGGTCCCTTGTACAGACTACAATCTTCATTTCAAGATGTACTTTGCGTCGGGGAGAGGTAAATTTTAATTAAAATGTGCACTAGTAAGCAGGAGGTCGTAGGTTCGAGACCCACCTGAGTCAGCTTGTGAATTTTTTTCACAAGCTCTCGGACGAACACCTTGTAAACCAAAGATCTTACAGCGCTGCGTAGCGACGCAAGATGGGAAACTTCACCGTGGATACGCTTAAACGTTATCGCATGGGGGCCATTTGGGTTGGACTACGCCTGCGCAGTGTATGTAAAGGGCAGGCGCTGCGACACGCACGCTCAACTATGGCCGTTTTCCAATACATGTACTCGATTTGTCTCCGTCTGAGGTTCGTCTCCAAACCTAATCCCAGATTGTAGGCCTGAAACATTTTAATTAATTTGAAGTACCTTAATGTTTGGCTGTTTTGCACCTGGCTTCATGTTTTGTGGCACCATCAGACTTACTGTTGCATTTACAACTTCAAAGTCAGGTAGTAAAAAAAAACACTTGAAGCCTGAGACGGAGCCGGAGTTGAGTATATTGGAAAACCGCATAGGCCTGCGTATGAACGATAACTTAGTCATGATTCGTCATAATGCGACAGATTTTATCTTTACACTGCAGGGCCTTGACCTTGGGGATTAAGCCTTGGTCTTATGGCTTGTGGGTCAAAGTCATGGCCTTGCGAATCAAAACCTTCGCTCTAACACTGGTGATATGTAAATAAAGTGTGAATGTTCACTGACAGCCCATCTTCCATCTTTATCAGATTTACATCGAGAATGCAGTGAATGCCAAATCAGTAAAGCTTTAGGTTTTATCCCATTGTCTCAAAAGGTGCATAGCCCATTCAGTTCCCCCACGGTAACCCACGTTACATTTCATTTTGATCTGACTGAAACTTAAGCCTAAGGTTGTCATTTTTCCGTGCCTCATTGGCCATAAGTTTAATATATCGGAGTTCGAAATTTAATACAAAAATGGCACGGCAAAAGTCACTATTACAAAGTCCAGAATATCCCTTTTCAAAAAATGTACCTGTCGTTTCTCAAATGTTTCTAACAATCAAATACAAGTACTGGCCATTCCATATTTCTCTATTTGCTGTGCATGAAAATGGCATGATGGACACCGTAAGTTGTTTCTGTAGCCTACCAAATGGGCCCTTCAAAATAACGAAACCCTCAATTTTGCACAGATATGGACAGCAATATCATAGTGCATCATGTACGATGCGCTCCTGCAAAAGAAATGTGACTATACATGCTCAATACAAAATGAGTAGGCCCTAATTTTGCTTTTTCTTGTACAATTTGCCCAATACCGAGTTCCTTGAAATCACATCAACTTGCTACCAAATATAAATGCTAACCGTCCGAATGACAGCGTTGCATAGCTCCATATCATATAGAGCAATCAAATTTCAAGTTTATAACAGGCTACAATCCTGGACGAATTTATTGGGACGCTTGGCAATAGCCATACGCTCTCCAGCCCCCAACCCCACTTCCCAAGTCAGTGTTGTCATATCCAGCCGGAGCGCAGATCGCGCAGATCGACACCCAACATTGTGTCTACGTGCCGTTTGGCGTGTGCTTTCTGGCGTTGTTTGTGGGGGAAAAAAAGAGCCGACTGTTAAGTACAAACAAAATGTATATTACGGGCAAACTGTACAAGAAAAAGCAAATTACCCATTTCGTATTGTGCGTGTACAACTGTTTTGCAGGAGTGCACCGTATACGATGCACTATGACATTGCTCTCCATATCTATGCAAAATTGACGTGTTTCGCTACTGTGAAGTTCCCATTTGGTACAGAAACAACTTACGGTGTCCATCATGCATGCTGTTTTCATGCACAGCAACTAGGAAAATATGGGATGGTCGGTACTTCTATTTGATTTTTAGAAACTGTTTAGAAATGACAGGTACATTTTGACAGTATTCTATTTGAGTTCGAACAGGGATATTCTGGACTTTGTAATGGTGACTTTTGCCGTGCCATTTTTGTAACTCCAAATTCTGATATGAAACTTATGGCCAAAGATGCACGGATTAAATGACAACACTGAGTTTCATTCAGATCAAAATGAAAGGTAATGTGGGTTACCTTGGGGACAAACTGAATGGGCTATGCGCCTTTTGCGGCAACAATGAGGTAAAACAAAAGCTTTACTGATTTGACATCCACTGCGTTCTCGATGTCATTTTCTGTTGTTGAAATTCCAGCAACTAGGAAGTGTCCTTTCTTTTGAGTTTATTTCATCATTTTCCTGCTTGTATTTTTCCGGGGCAGACCTATCTATAGGCAGTGATGGATCAACCATTCACAAGAAAGATCGGCAGTTGCAAAGCATTTGTTGCAAAGTTGGGGTGACTCAAGAGGGTATGGAACGTATCTTTTGTGAGAACTTCTCTTTCAATTACATCAAACTATTATGCAGTTGAAAGCAAACGAAATCTGCTGTTATAACAAAGGAAATTTCCATCAATAAAATAGGGAGTCGAGTGCCGCCCGACTGTGCCACCCCTGGATCTGTTACTGTTGAGTCATCGATAATAAACATTCACTGTACGCCCCACAGCTTTGATACTGAGATCACTGAGAGAAGAAATGAATCCAACACGGTTGGAATCGGTTTCATTTGGCAAAAATTTAGGAATTGACAGCATAAATCCTTTAGCTCACTGTATTTAAACCTAAAAAACTGCCTTGTGAGTTCTGCGCCCAGGGACATAAAAAATGCGGTGAAGGAAAAATCCAAAAGCTATGCGGTGTTGACCAAGCATTCAGGCGCACGGACTCCTGAAATTCGCAAGGAATCGCAGTTACCGGCTTCCATATAGGACTCTTCTGGGGTCTCGGGGTTCCCGGCCCACCACACTTCCTCCCTGCCCACCCATTTAACCCCCAAAAGGGTTCGAGCGGCCATGCAAGGGAGTAAACGAGACAAGCCTCGGCCGCCGAGTCGGCCATACATCTCGAACCTGTACTAAGGCGCTCACCTGGACTTCGCGGACAGTCCCAACAGAAGAGCCTACACCATGTAACAACCTCGACTCCTTAATCAATTGACGTGAGATGTTTTTAGTAGCGCTGAATTTTGAGTCTCAGTAACCGAACTCGAAGCAATCGTCCTGGCCCAAGTGTACAGACAATTCAGACTTAAAGAAGTCTTTGTTGACAAACAGAAGTTGGAATAAGAATACGAGTTTCTTTTATTCTCCAAACTTAACCTCATGCAAAGCTCCTCACAGTCAAATATGGAGTTGATGAGGAAAAACCTCCTGTTTCCTTCTTAACAAGTATAGTTATAACAAAATACTTCACAAATCAAGTATTTTCTCAATATGGAAACATTTCACAGGCTCAAAGCATCGAAGTTGGTCTCATCAGACTTTAGCTCTCTGCTTGCAAAGTTCCAACTCGATTTCTCAACATACTTTCAGGGTTTTATACTCTACAAATCTACTTTTTAACATAGTTACTGAACATAAGTCACAAGTAAATTATGCAGTAAGGTTACATCACCCGGTCGGCAAAGGTACTGTTGGTATTTGGCGGGGGGGGAGTCTCTTATAGCTACTGACTGACAGCAAGCGCTGGGAAAATAAAAAGCCACCCCTGGGATTTGAACCCACTGTCTAATGATCTGATTACCGCGAGCTTAATCACTCGGCCATTTCAGAGATATTGCTTTTGTTGTTCATATTAATTAAGGAATTTACAAAATCATTAACCTCACCTCACAGAATGTTGCTGTGTAAAGGCTGAATGATTAAAACGCTACAATAGTGCATCAAATAGCAAAACTACACATTCAGAATATCAAATGTTCTTCCTGAGAGATTCTCTTCATTGTTTTTAAATGAACGCGCATCAATATGGCAAGTTCCCGGACAACGGCTATACACCTGTCTACATGTTCGAACTCTTTCATAGTACATGTACATTATGTGAATGACAAGCTAATTCTGCCTTAGGTAAGGGGGCGTTTTCTCGCGTTTCCTTTACTAACATAAAATGACAGCCGAATTGGGAACCCAATAGTTCTGCTAAACATGCTGTGTTGTGTGGTGGATCTGATGTGTGGTGCATAGCTCTTCAGACACTTTGCCCCGTGAAGAGAACATCTTTACAGCAAATTCCTTGTCCATATAAAGATGTTGTTGAACAAGCACTTTTCTTGTCATATTGTAATTCATTTTCACCATCGTAGACCTGAAGTTGTCGTATCTTCAGTTATATGAAATGTTGATGTGAATACATCAGTGTGCTTCTTCGTATTTAATACCTGCATTTTCTCGTCAGTCACTTTTTTTACAGTTCAACGTTACATTGAAGCTTTCTTCCCGGGATAGCATTACAGTTGCGCTTATGAATAGGCCTATAGATTATACTCGTTAGCATGAAAGCAAAAAGACAATAGCGAAACAAAAGCTGGAAGTAAGAAACTGAAACAGAAAGGTGCATTTTGAAGGTTTGCAGTAAAACAAATTGATTGCAGCTATCTTTCAATAAAACTTGCAAATTCAGAGTGTCAAAATGTAAATCGAATAAAGATGGAAGATGGGTTGTCAGTGAATATTCACACTTTATTTACATATCATATGATTGGAGCGAAGGTTTTGATTCTCAGGGCCATGACTT